GAGAGCGACGCGCTGCTGCTTGATCTAGCGAGCCTGGCCAACTGCTTGCTGCAGGGTCTGCTGCAGCAGCGGCTGCCTGCTGCAGCAATACAGCAGTTGCTGCTGCCGGGAGTACCTCTAGAGAAGACAGCTGTCGCCTACGCCTTGCATGCGTTTGAAGAGCAGCAGCAGCAGCAGCAGCAGCAGCAGCAGGATGCGCTCGGTCTGAGAAGCTGCTGCAGTTCATTGAGGGGAAGGTATCCATGCTGGGGGACCCCCAAGGCTCAGCAGCAGCAGCAGCAGCAGCAGCAGCAGCAGATGCAGCAGAAGCAGCAGAAGCAGCAGCAGGTGCAACAGAAGCAGCAACTGATGCAGCAAACAGGCTGGCTGCGAGCTCGTGCTGCTGCTGGAGTAAGAGCCTTAAAGCTGCTGCTGATGCGCCGCACTGCAGCAGCATCAGTACCTGCTGCAGCGTACAGGACGCATGCAGCAGCAGCAGCAGCAGCAGCAACAGCAGCAGCAACGGGACGGGAGATTTTGGTATCGAAGCAAAGGCCTTATCTGCAGCAGCAGACAGATCGACAGCAGCAGCAGATACGGCAGCAGCAAGAACAACACCCACAGAAGCAGCAGCAGCAGCAGCAGAAGCAACAGGTGAAGGGTTTCGGTTGCTGCTGCTGCGGCTCCTTGCATGCACCAGGCCGCATGTAGGGGCCCTGCGGCAGCTGCGCCGCTGCTGCAGCAGCGGGATCACAGTCGTTTGCTGCAGCAGCAACGGGCAGCTGCTGCAGCAGCTGCTGCCGCTGCAGCTGCTGCTAGACCGAAGTACACTCACAACAGCTGCTGCAGGCACAGCATCTTCAGCAGCAACTGCAGCAGCAGCTGCAGCAGCAGCAGCAGCAGCAGCAGCAGCACCGCTGCTGCGCTCTTGTCATCTGTTACATCTCAGCAGCAGCAGCGCACCAGACTTTGCTGCTGCTGTGCATCGAGTTGCTGCTGCAGTGGCTGCTTCACCTGCCAGTGCTGCAGCAGCAGCGAAGACATGCTCCTGTAGAGGCTGCTGCTGCTGCTGCTGCGGCAGCAGCAGCTCGCAGCAAGAAGACCAGCTGCATGCACAACTCCCTGTTGTTGTTGCTGCTGCTACGGCGCCTTTCGCAAGCCTTGCTGCTGCAGCAGGTGAATCTCTACACTACAGCCTTCACGCTGCTGCTGCTGCTGCTGCTGCTNGCTGCTGCTGCTGCTGCTGCTGCTTCCCTGGTTGCTGCTGTTGCTGCTGTTTCTGCCCCGACATTGTTATATGTGCTGCTGCTGTTTCTGCTGCTGTTGCTGCTGCTGCGTCTTCAGGTTTTACTGTCTTTGCTCCGCTGCATGCAGCAGCCGCTGCAGAGCAGCAGGGGGTGACCCTCAACAAGCAGCAGCAGCAGCAGCATCAGCAGCAGCAGCAGCAGCAGCAGCAGCAAGTCAAGTTACTGAAGTGCTTCGAGCATATGGACATCGAATCGTTACGGAGAACGTACGGACTGCAGGCTCCGCAGCAGCAGCAGCAGCAGCAACAGCAGCAACAGCAGCAGCAGCAGCAGGAGCAGCAACAGCAGCAGCAGCAAGATGATGACGAGACAGCCCCTGTGTATGGAGAACGTGTTGTGCCCCTTCGTGCGTTGGAGTGTCTCGACAGCTGCAGCAGCACCACCTCAATACAAC